CCCCAAAACCCCAAAACCCCATCTTGCAATTAATTGAGCAAATAACTTAGAATACATAATCCAAACGTAAATAACTCGATTTAAATAAATCACAAATAAATAAACTTCGCCCTTGTATAAAATAGTAGTAGTAGTTATCACAGATAGTGGTCTGCAAGGAATAGCATTCAGTAATACTATTAAACAAAATTCTAATATTTTTCCTTGAGCGTTTTTCTCATTTCTTTGAGCTATCCATATTTAAATACATCTGTAGAGTCATAAAGTTTTTCAAATACACTTTTTTTCTGCTCATACTCACTCATATCACCCCCGGTCTACATGTTACCGTTACGAACTCCGTCAATTATTCTTTAATGAGAACCAGATACCCTATCTCTAGAATTGGAATATCTAGATCTTCCACTATCACTTCGAGGATCTTTTGCAATAAGCTAAGGTTTAAAGTAAGTGCTCAGCTAGTCATCAATCTCAACCTTCTTCTTTTAGATTGCATCCTAATACTTTTTCTTTCTAAGGTCTGCATCGTTGCTGAGATTCTCAAAACACTTTTAAAGCTCTTTCTTTTTTATTTTCTATTAATGCATCGTTTAAATAACTTGTACTTCCTCTTACTCTTTGATTATCAAAGTCTTTTTAATTTTGTCTATTGCTTCATCCTTCTTTTTCTGGTAGTTCATTAGCCTAGAGAACATCTTGTCACTCTCCTTTTTCGTCATTTTCTTGATATTTTTCAAGCTGAAATTAAATTGAAAGTGATCTGCAGTTGTCGAATGATTTTAAGGAGATAGATAGCTTTTTATTACCATATTTTTAAATCTATCGAATCCAGAAAGTTACTTATTATTGCTTTAATCAGATTCAGTGTCTATAGTAAGTTACTCATTGTGATATTTTGGTGATGCTTAGACAGTATGAACGACCATCTTTCTCTTTTTTTAAAGACTTTTAATTCCTTGGTTAAATATTTAAGACTAAAAGTTTTAATAGTTTGGTCTGCTGCTTCTTATTTGCTGCGATGATTCTGGCCATTACTACCTTGATGAATATTAATCAACTGAGCCTGAGTAATAATCAGTATTTAAAGTCAAGTACTTCTATTTTTCAATCACAGAACAAGTTTGGACCTAAAGCAAAGACTAACATATTTGATTAGTCTTTTATGGAGAGTAATTAAGTTTTGTGCCTTGCTTAACTTTTCCTATAATAGATGTGTTCCCATCTTAATCATGCTCCTCAGGAATTTCTTCTTCATCCTCCTCACTACTATCCTGATCAACTCTGTAAAGCTTGATAATTTTCTGGCTAGGTTCCTATGTTTCCCTCCTCAATTCCTTGAATTCTAAAGAAGGCTGCTGCTAAATCATTGTCATAGTAACTATTTCAACTTCAGGTTGTGCCTCAATAATTGTATTATCCTGCTCTTATATAGAACTTCTTAATTTACTCCTGCCACAATCAGGCTTAACTGACAGATTCAAGGACATCCTAGTACTATCATTGAATGAGAACTTCGAATCTTTATTGTTTGGATTAGTAGGACATTTTTTATTGATACTTCTTTTAAGCATAAGATATTTCTAGATGGATTTATTAATTGATTGATAAGTAGCTTACATCTTTTGTCTAGGTTAGATTTTTTTACTAATTTAAGGTTGCGTACTTCTCATCCTGATCTCCTCTGATTGTTGCATTTTTATTTCATGAAACCATGTTGGTTTTGTTGATGCTTTTAATCTTACTATCAAATAGATTTTTATGATTTCTTGAGTATTATTTCTCCGGATCCTGCATCAAATCAGAGTTTAATGGCAATTTTTTCATTTTTAACATAAATTATATTTCGCCTTTCAACGTATATAAATCATGATGGGGTTTTGGGGTTTTGGGGTTTTGGGGAGATCGGAAGAGC